ATCAGGAAGAAGGTACCCTTCACTTTCCCTCCCACGATCCATAACTTGAGCTTCTCTCTTGAGCTAGTGAGGAATTCTTTGGTCTGTACAAATACAATGATACAACATTTCTATGGACTTCATTAAAAGCAGTTTTGGGTCAGAGAAGGAATCAAATTCCTACGTAGCTATTCCTTCAGGGCATCAAATCTTTTGAGGAGCTGAGTATCTCAACTGCTCTAGAATTTCAGGGAAACAATAGTCTCAAGCCAGGAGTCCTTACTGTGGGCACACTAAACTGATATGCAGTCTAGGCCAGAGACAGGGCTGATCCAGTTGTTTTGCAATAAAATATTATATCTCAGGACAAAACATTGTTTTAATAAAAACATACCTGTAAAATATTCTCCAAATTCTTGTTCTAATTTAATTGCTCGATCATAGGTTTTCTTTGCTTGCTCCTCTGTAAGACGTTTATTCATTTCCCTAGAAACAGAGGAAATAATAAAAAAGTTTAGATTCTAACTAGAACAGCTTTCTAAAGGTACCTTTGATTGAGTCACAGATGGCTTGAGATCAGTATAAGAATCAAGTGGTGAAATTCTTTCATCTGTTTACGGGCTGTTTCAGAATTTTAAATTTAACTTCATTCTCATGTAGTATAAACCAACATTTCCAGACTATTTCCCATTTCTCCACTAAAATTTTGTTTTGGGTTCACTACTCTACATTACCAAAAGAAAACAAACAAGGCCCATATCTGGTAACTGATAACTGAAATGCACTTGTGGCATCACGAACCTATGGGTAAGTCTGGATGGCTGGAGGTCTCGAGTTCTAAGCACTCAAAACACTCCTCCCTCATGAGCTGAAGCTCCTGCAGAAACTTCTCTACCTTCCAGGCCCACAGCTGAATGTCTCAGCTGAGTAAGATGATCCAAACAGCTGAAATGAAAGCCAGATTTTGACAAAGGCTGGACTATGGAAATGAAATAATGGTAAAAGGCAGAATTAAGCACACTGAGACTTCTGACCGTGTAGAAGAAATCCCAGTCATTGCAAACCCTGTAAGGAAGTCCCAGAAGGACCCAACGAGGGATACTTCTTCTTTCAGGTGGGGGTATGAGTTCCAGTTATAACGAGAAATCAAACTGAGCGTTTCCAGCAGGAAGAGTTAAACTGAGTTATTTATTTATATTTTCTGTTCCAGTCCTTTCTGATTAACTTAAAAGATTCCCAGTCAAGTGTGTCATGTAGATTCTAAAATTTACAGGGCACCAATAAATATAAAAACATGGATGGTGTCAGTAACATTCTGTTATTGCCAACGTTTTGTTATTTGATGGAGAATTTCAGTTTCAACAGAGGCATTCTTTAATAACTTTGTGAAATGAGTTGTCTTGCCCATGCACACTCAGGTTTTAATACCACTGTCCTTGCACAGAGTCAAGCTCATACTCATTCAATGCCTTACATGTATAGGCCTGCAGATAGCCACATAAATTAGCAATAATAAATAGAGTCTGCTAGTTCTAGCATTTTTCACAGCATGGATTCATTTTTATTAAAACATGATAGAAATTTTTAGAGGCCTCTAGGAAAGCAGGAGAAAGGAGCATCTTATGTTCTGTATAAATCTAATTTAATGCCTTGCACTGAATCACATGATTATGTGATAATGGGCTGAATAAATGATGACATGGGTGATGCATGTAGGAAATTAGGTGCATGATGGTGCATAAAAAAATGATCTATGAAGTGCACAACAGCATGAACTTGCTACAGCTAACTCCTACCTGGCTTCTGAAAAACACCCTGTAATATGTCCAGGATACTAAAAGGTATTTCTGGAAATGACTTAAAGCTGTTAATCTACATAACTAACCTTATGGCTGGGAACACTGCTTAGAAAAATCTCTCAGGAAGCACCAATGCAATGCAGAAAGCAGATTTATATAATGAAGGGTAAGAAAGATTTCTTTTAAAAATTATGACAGTTATTTGTGGATTATATAAATAGGTTTAATATATGCCAATCTGTGTTATGCTGCTAAACTTGTAATACTTCTAATTCCATTTAGTGGAAAGACTGGTAACTAATTGAGTTCAGGCAGGCTTCTCCTCAGCTATGCCTGCTTGAACGTAACTTTAGGTGACTGAACTAAAACTCTGTCTTGAAGTGGCACAAACCATTGCAAATTCTTTTGCAAACTGAACAATTTCATGTTAAGGACAATCAGCCAATATTCTAGTGCTAATATCATCCTCCTTCCAGATCAATGCCAGGTAAATTCCTGAGAATTTTTCAGAGGAGAAAATACAATTGGAAGTATAAGCAAGCATTTTAAATAGTAAGTACTATGAAACAAGTAGAAATTTGTATTACATTCTCAGAATCACAAAATCACGCAATCTTAGAGGTTGGAAGGGATCTCAAAAGATCATCTAGTCCAACCCCCCTGCCAGAGCAGGGTCACCCAGAGCACATCACACAGGAACGTGTCCAGGGGGGTTTGAATGTCTCCAGCAAAGGAGACTCCACAACCTCTCTGGGCAGCCTGTCCCAGGGCTCTGTCACTCTCATAGGAAAGAAGCTTTTTCTGATGTTTACATGGAACTTTCTATGTTCCATTTTGCACCCATTGCCCCTTGTGCTATCACTGGACATCACTGAAAAAAGCCTGGCTCCATCCTCCTGACAGTCACACTTAACGTGTTTGTGGCCTCACCAAGGCAGAACAGAGTGGGAGGAGAACCTCTCTTGACCTACTAACCACAGCCTTTCTAATGCACCCCAGGATGCCAGTGGCCTTCTTGGCCACAAGGGCACATTGCTGGCTCATGGTCATCCTCCTGTCCACCAGGACCCCCAGATCCCTTTCTCCTACACTGCTCTCCAGCAGCTCAGCCCCCAACCTGTACTGGTACATGGGCTTGTTCTTCCCCAGATGCAAGACTCTGCACTTGCCCTTGTTGAATTTCATCAGGTTTCTCCCTGCCCAACTCTCCAGCCTGTCCAGGTCTCACTGAATGGCAGCACAGCCTTCTGGTGTGTCAGCCACTCCTCCCAGTTTAGTGTCACCAGCAAACTTGCTGAGGGCACACTCTGTTCCCTCATCCAGGTGGTTGATGAAAATATTGAATAGTACCGGTGAGTCAGAGCTGCTGCTGCCCAGAAGCTCTCACTCCCCACCCAGGGACAGAGGTTGGGACTGACTCCCTCCCACTCTCTCCATTTCTCTCTCTCTTGCCTTCTCTTCCAGTTTTGCTGAGGGTTTCCTTGTGGTTCAGCCGCTGCAGAAGGGCTCCACCAGCACGATCCGTCACTCTGGTGTCCTTCACCTCAGTGGTTTCACCAAAAAGAGGTTGTAGATTTGCCTAGGCTATAAAACTGTGCTAGTTTTATTCATGCCTCTTCCAATCCTCAGGAGAAAAGATAGAGAAGGGGGAGGACCATGGTGTCCATTTTTCCTGAGCTTTAACCAGTGTGAAGATCACTTCTATTTCCCCCTCAGCCTTTCTTCCTTGATCCCAGGTAATTCCTGTTCCCCCTCCACTTCCATGGTGGAACCCAAAGTCAGGCCAGAGCTCCAGCTGAGGCCTCATCCATAGCCAGTAAAACAAAATAACTGCCTGTTGTGTTCTTATACAACACTGATATTAACACAGCCAGTGGCAGTTTCCTTTTTTGCAACCACATTATCCACATTATTCATATTCCTGTGTGATCCATCCCAACTGCCAGATGTTTTTCTGCAGTACTACAGCTCAATTATTCCCTGCTTGTACTTGTGCATTTCATTTTCTCTCATCTATGTTGAATTTCATCCTACTGGTTTTACACTGAATTTTAATCTTGTCTCCAAAAGTGCTTGCCACCTCACTCAGCTTTGAGTAATTCACCAACCTTACAAAAGTATTGCCCAGTTCATCATTCAAGTAATTAATGAAAATAACAAGTGGTCCCAAAGAGGGACACAGCTCAAGATACTGGCAGGATTTCTGTCATCCTCCCAGTTAAACAGTGCCATTGGCAGTTACTGAGTATGGTTGTGCCATTGGCCTCTAGTGATTCCCTCTGGACACTATTTCCTGAAGCTGTCACTGCAATACCATTATTGAGATCCATCTCACAAAAGAAGGAAGATTGACTTGGTGTTGTTGGCTGCCTCTTAGAACCATTCTGCCCTCTCCATTATTATGTCTGAGTTTCTTAGCTGTTCCCTGGATCCCAGTGTTTTTCTGAGCCTGGTGCCAGCATTAAGTTGGTACCTTCTCTTTCCTTCTCCAAATGTTACATTTTCCCCCTCTTCAGCCCCATGGGTCCTTGCCTAACCTCCTACAGACCTTCAAGTAAATGAAGGGCTGATGAAGAGGCACACACTGCAAATCTGACACAGGTTTACCCTCTGGTTTGCCCCCTGTGACCAGACTCCACACTCCAAGAGTACTCAAGGCTGGATGGGACAAGTCATACTGCACGAGTCCTTGGCGAACTTGCTGCACAGGTTGGAACAAGTGCACTGAGCACTGAGAAGGAGTTCTTTATGGTACAGCACATATGCCCACACGTCCCAGTGTGAAAGGTTCAAAGGCAGCTTTGGCTTGTTCCTTCAGATGCTGGGATACAAGGGATGACAGGCAGGGAGGTCAAGTGTCTACTGCTCCCATTTCCTTTTGTTATTACTGATTTTAAAAGACAGTAAAAATGTAGACTCAAGAGCTGTGTTGTGCCACTTGAGACTGTACCCTGCCAATAAAATGTTTGAAGGAGTTCATACTTACATCAGAGGCTCCCATGATTTAGGCTTAATGAAGATAGCGATGGGATAGAGTTGTGCAACTTGTAGTCGTTTGATAGCATTTCCTGACACATCGAGTATACAGTGCTTGCCCTGTTGGAAACAGATGAGGATATGGTTATTTTTGCAGAGTTTCCCATAGATCAGCCAAAAGGGGAGAAGCAATTCTGTGAGGCAGTGCCCTGGAGTGGGGCTATGGCTGGTACACCAGGGGAAGGGGACTCCAGGGCATGTGCTCCACTCCTCTGCATTCCTTCCTTGTCTTTGGTGCTAATAAAAAACATACACCGGGGATATGGGAACAAACTTGGGTTTTATTTCTACTGGGATCAAATTTGCATGGAGGGCAGGAGAGGATTTTCTTCAGAGATGAGGAAAATCAGTTCATAACAATAATGGGATGTTGACATTCTTATTGGTTAATTCAGTTCTTGTTGGTGTCAAAGGCTCCCTGTGTCACCTGGGGCAAGTAATTTAATCTTATCTTCTTTGTTCTTTTGCCTGTGTGAAAGTGAGGCAAGTTTATTTTCCTACTTGACAGAGGGAAGGCTGTTTTGGGGTATACTTGAGGTATTAGAACCCTGAACTGATGTCAATACATCCAGGTACAGAAAGCGCCAAGGGTATTGTAATTCAAAGTCAGAGGCTCCACTTCTGGAGTATTTATAAAGTCCTTATATAAGTCTTTATAAATATTAGGATGCCATTGTGCAGATGTTTTATATTTTTTTGCAGAAGAATCATGTCTGATAGACAATGTGCAAACAAAACAGATCATGTTGCGTGGGCAATCAAACTATTGTCAACCTACCCTTTCTGCCACAAATCTCACAGACTGGACACTAGTTCCATATAAATTATCATTGTACTGCCCAGCTTCTATAAATTTGTGCTCTTGGATATCTTTCTCCATTTGTTCTCTTGAAATGACAAAATGATAATCTCTCCCATCCACTTCATAGTCACGCTTTGGCCGTGTGGTATCTACATGGAACAAAAGACAGAAGATGACGAAGTCTGTAAAAATATTGAATACAGAAAAAGCTGCAATTAAGGATTTTCTCAGTGAGCAATGCTGGGCCTGTTGTAAGTGGAGGTGCTCCACATTTTTGAGCAGAACTTTGGCTACTACATATTGTTTTCAATGGAGTTATGATAATAAAGCTGCCTTTTTAAAGGAATATCTTCTGATTTTACTTCAAATCAATACTTATACGCCAACATAAAATTAGGTTTAACCAGAATTCCACTTTTTTTTCAGC